CAACTCCAGATTAAGTACAAAAGTGCCACCTGTCTACTTCCTTCCAAACACAATCCAGGCCTTCCTTCTTCTTTATTCCGTAACTCCTTCAGGACATTTTAGCCTTAGCTTCCTCTTCTGAGAGTTCATTTCCCTTTGGAGGCAGTCTCACACAGTTCAGGGTGGCTGAACTCCCTGTGTAGCTGGGCATAACTCCAACCCTCTTGCCTCTACCCCTGAATGTTGGTATTACAAGTGTTTGGGATTGTTTGTTTTCTTGTTTTTAGCAACAGAGTTTTACAATGGCTAACCCTGAACTCAGTCAGAGGTCAGCCTGCTTCTGCTTCCTGAGTCTAGAGATTACAGATGTGCACCGACACTTTCCAGCTCACCTCTGTGCTTTTATGAGGGGCTGAGGCTTGAACCCAGAGCTTCATGCATGCAAGGGAAGCACTCTATCAACTGAAACACATCCCCACCTGTCTGTTCAGACACTTCTACACTACTTCCACCCCGATCTCAATTTACGTGGAGAAAGTATCCTGAAATGCCATGGATACTGCTGCTCATGTTGGCGCAGACCGACCATACCAAGGGCACTCAAGTCCCACCAAAAATGTAGTATTAGCATATAACTTTTGTGCTTCCTCCTATGTATTCTAATTAATCTTTACGTTACCAATCATATCTAATACATTCAAACGCCAGGTAAACACTTGCTATACTGTATTGTTTAGGAAATAATGACCAAGAAAAAATAAGTTTGTTCATGTACAGTATATATGAATCACCACCATAGACCTAACTGAATAGTATGACCACAGGTTGTTTGAAATCCCAGATGCAAAACTACTGGATAGAGAAGACCGACTCTGCTTTCTACTAATACACTGAAATACAAACAAGGAAGTCTACATAGACCAGTTTGTCTTATATGTGGTATATGTTGTTTTTCAACGATTTTGCTTATTTCCTTAACTCACTAAAAACGAGAACCATGAATTAATTAGGGTGGAAACCAAGTGCCACTCTCACACACATCCTAAAGTGACAACAACGACCCCTCATCTTCTGACCCAGCACGATGGGTTCTTACAAATCTCTTAGTACTTTGGGTACTCTGCCCATCTTCAGTCCAAACCTATGAGAGATACTGGTAAGTATATTGGTGTGTTCTGTGTGGCCGCCAGGCGTAAACTTAAAACTGAATTACCTGACCGTGTGCCCAGGACAAGCACGCCACGCACAACCCACCTTGGTACCCAGGGATAAATGCGGGGCGTTTGGGAGAAACCTAGAATCCAGAACGGTTTCAATACCTAAACTTGGCAGTGACCTCATCCACCTTCCTATCTTCTCCCTGCATTCTCCCACCACCCTGCTCGAAAGTCCCCACTAAGGGACTGAGGGACTTGTAAGGATCTCGGTTCTCCACCTAACGAGGCAGGCCAGAATCTGCGCGCAGGTCTGAGTTCTGTAATGCTACTTACTGCGCTCCAGACCCGCCCTCTGGAAGCAGCTCTGTGCACGCAGCTCACTCGCGGCATGAAGCAGCGTGCTCCCTTCTCGCTGCCTTGTGCTGTGTTGTGTTGTGTGGAGGTCGTGACACGTGCAGGCCTCGCTCCGCGGGCCTGACTGAGCGCGGAGAGGGCCTGCAGGGGCGGAGGGTGACGCTCACCTGGGGAAGCCCGGGACGAGCCCAGCTTGCAGCCGGCGACCACGCTCCGGAACCGCGCCTGGAGGTGATGCAACACTGACAGCGTGTGTCTCAGCCCGACTCCGCGCCGCCCAATCAGCGTGTCCCATCCGGCACCCACCAACAACACCTGTGGTGATTGGTTCATGCACAACTGCGGTGCAGGTCGGGAGCGTCCCTGCAGAGGAAGAAGAAGGGTGCGCGCCACAGGCTCAGGTGGCGCTGGCGGTCGCCGCTCCGCTGCAGGCCGAGGCGTTACGTCAGGAGGACAGGTAGTTCGGACAAGACACACCCATTCTCTTCATCTTGGGTACCTGTGTCAGGATTCTTAAGTAAATGTCAGTGTATTTAAGATCTGGACATTTCACACCGTTTAACATTAGTTTGGACACCGGGTCTTCTTTATCTCCAGCTGACCGACCCCGGGAACGCCTAAGAAGCCAAGGATGACCTTGAACTTCAGATCCCCCCCCCCCCCCCCCCCCCCCCCCCCCCCCCCTCACAGCGGTGGGGTGCCCCAACACGCCCGTTTTTATATGGCCTGGGGGATGAACCAAGGGCTTTACGCACCAGAGCCAGTCTACCAATTGAGATTCCCAGCTGTGACAGCTAAAATTTATGCTACAACTGAAACTTCTCACAATTATTTTGGGGAACAGTGCAAGTTCACCGGGATACGCTTGTCATGTGGCAAATGGCAAGAAGAGGAAAGAAAGGGCCTGACGACAATCTGAAACTTTTTATAGAATTTTATTTAGCATGATTCTTTTAATTAAAAAATGCTTCTTTATTATCGTTAAACCTTCCAGATCTGGTCAGGAACAAAAGAGAACCCGGAGCTAGGTAGCCATCTATAAAGGAAAGTTTTGACCTTGGAAAGTTGACAGAGTTGAATAGGTGACCAAGTGCCAAGTGTCCGTAAGTGACTGGGAAAAAAAAAAAAAAAAAAGTGGATTTGGCCTAAAAGAGATGGAAAGCTTAAGTTTAAGAACATTTTGGTATCTGTTGAGTGTTTGTCTATGCAGCATTACGCTCAGACCCCACTGTGTCAAAGGTCACCTGCAGTGGTTCCCTGGCCTCTTTACTTTCTTGAATAAGAGTATCTTTATTAACCAGAAACATTCGCAGTGTTCTTAAGTTTCACTTCATGCCCATTCTCTGCTCAGAGTGCAGAAATAGAACAAAGGACCCCCCTGCACAAACCCATGGGTGGTGTAGACTGACCAGATGGTTTAAAACCTGGATTGAGAAACACTGTAAGATACTGTTAGGAAGTAAGGGAACACCTTGCCTAGACAAAAGGTAGTTTTAAGAATTCCATAGCTGGATGGTGGTGGTGAACACCTTTAATTCCAGCACTCAGGAGGCAGAGGAATTTCTGAACTCCAGGACAGCCAGGGCTACACAGAGAAACCTGTCTCAAGAAAAAAAAAAAAAAAAATTCTGGAAGATTAGTTAACTGTGGCCAAAATATACTAATACTTAGATTCAAGAGTAATTTTTTTAAGAAGTCAGGAAAAACTAGCTGGGGACATAGTACAGTGGTAGTGCTTTACCAAGTCTGCATAAAGCACCAAACAAAACAGCAAATGCAAACAGAGCATAAGCAAAATAGACAAATTATACATGAATATTAGAGAAATCAGATCATTTTTATCTCCCGGCAGAAAATTGGGAATGAAAATTGTCACTTGTCGCTATCTACTTTGGAGTTCTTGACAGACTCAAATATGGACACAAGCTCTTTGGTTCATCCCATTGATATAACCTGTATAGAACCAGGGGCTGAGCTTTTTTTTTTTTTTTTTTGGCCCAGAAGTTAGGAGACTGGAAGCATGCTTCCTGTCTCTGGGAACACTTGCCCTTGAATTCTAGTTGCCACACTTTAAAGAAGCCCTTGAATAGACATTGAATGGGCCAGACATGTAAGCAGAACCTCTGTGCCCATTAATACACCCCAATGACTATAGAGAGCAAAGAATCCTAGCCAAATTTAGTATCTGTGAGCAAAATTGTGACTTTTACTAGGACCATTAGGTAAGAAATAATGAAGTATGTTATTTACATCAAGAGAAGCTGGAACACCTCAAGAATCTTGCCAAGTTTTTAATCTGTAAATCTGAAATCCTAGAAACAATCTAGACCTCTTTAAGCTACTTAGTACTTTGTATCCTATTTTACTTACCTAAATTATTTTTGTATGTATGTATGTTTGTTTGTTTGTTTGTTTGTGTGGTGGGGACACATGTATGTGAGTATAGTGGCCCACAAAGGCCAAGATGACACACACAGATGGGATCTCTCTGAGCTGTAGTTACCAGAGATTGTAAGCTATTTGACATGGGTGTTGTGAACTGGGTTCTCTGGGAGATTGACAAGCCTTCTTAATTGCAGTCATCTCTCCAGTCCTTGTATCTTATTTTACTAAAAAACAACAAAAAAACTCCAAACCACAGGAACTGAGAATTTGTGTGACACAGATATAGGCAGTGGAGACATAATGTTTAACAACCCAGGAATAGATCCCAATAGATTTTTGTATTTCAGCAAATGTAGATCAAAAAACACACCTTTAATCCCAGCACAGAGGAGGCAGAGGCAGGCAGATCTCTGTGAGTTCGAGACCAGCCTGTTCTACAAGAGCTAGTTCCAGGATAGTCTCCAAAGCCACAGAGAAACCCTGTCTCAAAAAAACAAACAAAAAAACACACTAACTTGAGATGCACATTGTAGCTCAAAAAGGCTCTTAGGACTAACACCCTTTTGCACAGAGCTCTCTTTTGGTTTGTCTTTCTGGGTTTTGCTGTTTTGTTTTGAGACAGGGCTTCCCTGTGAAGCTCTGGCTGTCTTAGAACTCATTCTGTAAACCAAGTTGACCTCAAACTAAGAGAGCCACCTGCCTTTGCCTGCTGAGTGCTGAAATAAAAGTGTGCAGCACCAATGCCTAGCCAGAGCTCATTTTAGTAAGAGACCTATCTACCTTGATTCTTAGACTTAGTGAAATATGAAACCTGCACTCTTATCTGGACTTGGGATCTGACTCTTGACTAGTAAGTGGTCTTTTAGATAGTATTTTCATAAACTTGGGTCTAATTGGACTTTTGGGACTGACAGGCCCATCTCCCTGTTGTTTACTAATTAGATGAGGCGAAAGTCAAGAACATACTGTACTGTCTTTCTTCCCTGGTCCTCACAACTCTAAGGTGTTAGTCTGAATGTCCCACATTTAAGTCAACATGTCATCAGAATGCAAGTACAAAGCTCAAAATTAACTTGTAATTTATTGTTTAAGACAAAACTAAAGAGTATTTAGAATAATCAGAAATAAAAAAATATACAGAACCATTTATTAAAAAGTTTCAACTTGTCATCAGAACATACGTACAGAACTCAAAACTGACTTGTAATTCAGTTTTAAAAGACAAATTGGAGGTAAAGAATATTTAGTATAATCAGAAATATTTAAGCACAAGTGCATCAAACCATTTATTAAACAGGGCTTTGTGTAAGCCATCCACCCAGAGATGGCCACTAGTTATCTAGGATGAAAAACAAGAGTGAGCCCTGATCTGAGGGGGATGTCGCTGTGTGGCTTCATGTGGTCTAAACTCCAGGACTCAAACGGTTCCCCCACTCCCCCTCTCAAGTGCTGAGGCTGCAGGTTTGTGTCACCACAGCTGGCTCAGTTAATTTTAGGACACAATCACCAAGGAAGAGATACAGAAAAATTCCAAAGGAACAAATAGTAATCAGAATGATATATTATCATCCAGGCTTTAAATATTCTTCTACTCTGGAATTTCTTCTTTGTCAATAAACAATTTTTTGGGTTAATTTCTTTTGGAGATTTGGTGAGCCATTTGCACATTCAATATTGGCTAATTTGCTTTCACCTTCCTTTTCGCTTCTTTATGTTTCTTCCGACAATCCTAAAGAATAGTAAAATAAGAAGCTTTTATTAACAATAAACACAAATTTCTCACCTTCAGCAAAGTAAACTTTAATTTAAAGTCATAGAAACCCATTCTGGAAGTACTCACTGGAATGTACAGGATATATCAATTTTTGTTTTATATGTTTAGGGAACTGTAACTTAGGCTTTGAAAAACCTCCTGATTTCTATAACTTAGGAGACTGACTAGACTTAGACTAGTCCCTTAAACGAGCCACTCTTCAGTCTCTTCACATACACTTGTGTAATGCACACCATAATGGTAAACTGACATGTGCTGTTTGAGCTCACTGAGATGCTGGCTCTGGAAGAGGGGATTCCCCACCCCACTCATTGCACACCTAAGTATGTTTTTTATCAAGTGTCCTCCAAGAACCCTGTCTGGGTATGGGATGGCCTACCAACTCTATGACAGGGAGGAAAGAACATCAGATGTCACTGTGTTTATTCTATGATATAAAAAAGTGCCTGTAGTGGGAAAGAGAAGCTGGGAGTTCAGCCATGGGAAGCTCAGGAATGGATAGAAACTCAACTGGAAACTCCAGCTGACTGCCTTAAAGGGGGTTTCCTACTCAGTTTCTGCTGGGATGTTTTGAGTACATGATTTGAAAATCTATCTATCTATCTATCTATCTATCTATCTATCTATCCATCTATCATCCCCTCACTCATTCAAAATAAAAAATCTGCTCTATAGTACCTAATTTTACAGATTGCACAGAACCTGTCATATTTCAATTAAAGAACATTTAAGTTCATTTTAGTAGTATAATTCTAGAGTTTAAGACATGTTCTCAGCTGTCATATTTTTAAACTTTCACATCTTACTCCTATTCTTATACTATGGGGAAAGTAACGCTAACATAATACTGTATCTAGTTTTGGAGAAACAATTAGAGACACAATTACTCACCAAAAGGAGACTACTTGTTCGGGCTTCCCAAGAACTTCTGCTAATACTACTTCCCACACCACACCAGAATAAGTTAGAACCTATGAGAAAAATGGAAGCATAAGGCAGCAAATTATTAACATGGACAATCTGAGGACATTGCCAATTCTAGTACATCATCAGCCTCAGAGATTTCATGTGGACTTCTAGAGTAGTGAAAACTTAGGCTTTTGTATGTTAATGTCTAAGCAAGTCCTTGTTGATAATAATGAACAAGCAATAAAAATGTAACAGAAGCACTATCGGTCCCTAAGAGCTTTCTAATGGATGGAAATAAAACACATCACAGAATAATGGATCAGAATTTCCAGATGGAGCTACTGTGTCCAATACACAATGAGTAAGAGTTGTGCTGCTGCCTGTTCCACACCCCTGAATGGAAGAACGGACCTACCACGAAGTCTGTCATCATTCTCAGTGAAAAAGAAAAATCTTGTGGTCTCTTTCTCAGGAAATGCTTCTCTGAAAAATAAGTGAGAGAAAAAGGCAAAAATTACTATTAACATATGAGAAATTATTACAGCTAGTATGATAGTGTATGCCTATAACCCCAGCATTTGTTAAGTACAGACAGAAGGGGGAGGAATTCTAAGCAGCCTTGGCTATATAATGAATTCAAGGCTAATTTAGGTGATATAAGCCCTGCCTAAAACAAAACCAAGAAACCTAAGTAGCAAAACAACAACAACAAAAAGAACAAAGGAAAAATATCCTTTTAAAGAAGTTGCTGTGCAGCTGGGTGATGATGGCACACACTTTTAATCCCAGCACTTGGGAGGCAGAGGCAGACAGACCTCTGAGTTTGAGGCCAATCTGGTCTACAGAGGGAGTTCCAGGACAGCCAGGGCTACACAGAGAAACCTTGTCAAGCTGCTCTGCACTTTGCTCATGTTCATGTGCACTGAAATAACCCCACCCCATCTCCACTCAACAGTCTTCCATCTAAAGTTCTGATAATGAGGAATTAAGTATAAGCTCTGTCTTTCGCATTCTGGGTGTCAATACTCATTCCCAGTGTTACCCTGTTTGCCAGAGTTACTCAACTGGTACCCAAGTCAACTGCAGCATCTGATTTCCAAACCAGGAATGTTACCATCAGCCTCACTGATCTGTACATGTTGTATGTGCCACAAGTTGCCATCTAAAAGTTACTGTTAGTAAAAGGTTAGAGAACTCTGTACAGAGCCTGATAAAATTTGTTCTAGATACTTATACAATGCTGCCAAAGCATGTCTTTAACCATGACACATGCTAACGCATAAACTGCTTACCCAGGACTGGGCTTTCTGTGATCTGTTTCTTTAGTAACATCTTCTTCTTCTTCTTCTTTTTCTTCTTCTTCTTCTTCTTCTTCTGAACTACTATCCTGGAAGCGGGGATCTTCCTGACAGACTATCTTCCCACGTTTCACTGGTTCGATTCTATAGGTATCTATATTGTTATGACAATGAAAGGCAATACAATTATGACTTAGCAACCACATAGTTCTCAACTCAGTAAACTGATTTCCTGTCCTATGCAATCATGACTAAACTTCTAGTATAATAAAATAGATATCAGTGTTTTCTTCTCCAGTTGTGGGCTCAAATCCAGTGCCTTGTTCATGCTAGGCAATGCTACCATTCTAGTCCCTAAGATAAGGAGCATTATCTTTTTCAGTTGTAAAATGCCACTGTTTAGTGATCAGATAAGGAATATAACATTATAAAATGAGCTAAAGCACCGGTGGCCCAGGCCTTTAATCCCAGCACTCAGTAGGCAGAGGTGGATCTCTGTGAGTTCAAGGTCAGCCTGGATTACAGAGCAAGTGCCAGGAGAGGTTCCAAAGCTACACAGAGAAACCCTGTCTCGAAAAACCAAAAAAGCTAAAAGCTAAAGGTGTACAGATGAGCAATATAATTTTCAAAGAAAGAAGCATAGCCTAGATACTGTTAAAAGAAACCTATAGGGCCAGATCTGGTGGAGCACACCTTTAATTACAGAACTCCGGAGGCAAAGGTAGGTGGATCTCTGTGAGTTTGAGGTAAGCATGGTCTACGTGAGTTCCAGAATAATCAGAATGTGTAGAGAGTCTGTCTTGGAAAACCAAAAAAAAAAAAAAAAAGGGGGGGGGGGGAAGCTTCCACACACAATGAAACAGGAATCTCTTCCTGCTTATTCATACACAAGGAACACATTTATGTTTTTATTTTCAACTCTCTGGAACTGCTGTGAGATCTTCACAATCTCTCACAAGTTTCCAAAGTAGGTTGTTTGTATCTAAAACTAATTATAGGGCCAATTTATTTCTCACACTTGGCTCTCAAAAGTTACAGTATTTAGAGTTCATATTCCATTCAACTGTCAAACCACAGAGAAAAACAAAATAGAACAAAATAGAACTCATTTGCATTTTGGAAAAGCTACTATGTTTCTCTAGCCATTTTAGGGGTAGCACAGCGCTGACATTTGACAAGTATCTGTTAAACACACGGTGCTTTTTAAATTTTTTATTTATGTATATATGCCAGTGAGTGTAAGTGCCCTCAATAGCTAGAGGAATTGGATCCCTCTAGAGCTGGAGTTACAGGAGGTTGTAAGTCACCCAATGTGGGTGCTGGAACCAAACTTGGGTCTTCTGCAAGAATAGAACAGGCTCTAAACTGCTGAGCCCCCACTTAGCCCATGTCTATTTTAAACAATGATCTTTGAAGCACCCTCACTGAAGTTAGTTGTGCATCCCTGGTTCCTGCCTTTTATAGGAAATTTCCACAAAGCTGTACATTCTTTATACTGGGTAAGGAAGAGACTTCTGAAAAAGTGTCTTGGCCAGGTGGCACACATTTACCATCTTGACACTCAAGAAGCTGATGCAGCCGGGTGTTGGTGGCACAAGCCTTTAATCCCAGCACTTGGGAGGCAGAGGCAGGCTGATCTCTGAGTTCGAGGCCAGCCTGGTCTACAGAGGGAGTTCCAGGACAACCTCCAAAGCAATACAGAGAAACCCTGTTTGGAAAAACCAAAAAAAGAAAAGAGAGAGAGAGAAGCCAAGGCAAAGTACCTGTAACTCCATCTCTAAGGGATGCTACCCCCTTTTCTAGCTTCCAAGGATGTGTGTGCGTGCGCGCGCGCGCGCGCGCGCGCACACACACACACACACACACACACACACACACACACACACACACACACACACACACACGACACACGTGCGCATTTTACAATTAAAAAAAAAAAAGAAAAAAGAGGAGGATTTCCATTTTCTTCTTTGTTTATTTTAAAATCCATGGAACTTTTTGGTTCTTAAGGGTAAATCTGAAATAGGATGCAAAATTGTAGGTACTTGCTTTTATTTTTTTCTACATTCTGTCAAATCTAATATTGAAATAATTGGCCTATTGATGGCATGGCGTATTTACATAAAACCAAAAAGGCTCTTTCTCCCTTTCTGTAGGTCTCGACATCTCCAGACGAATTAAGAAACAGAGCTATTTAAACAATGTAGTCTATTTGTTCATGACTGTTGTCATGTAAGAGAAAAAGGATCATGAGACATTAATGTCTAGTCTCCACTCACATCGAAGCTGGCTTTAAGTTTGCTCCCTTCAATGCAAAAATAGTTTTTCTCACTCCTGTAGGAACATCATATTTATAATTCAGGCTATACTGAATCTCATATTGCTTATGCATACTGAAGAGTGTCCCTTACTGAGACAACATGAAATTGATTATACTTACCGTAAACTCAACAAATTAAGTTCAGTCTGCCTGAAATAAGGAAAGTGGGAAAGAAAAAGCATACCTTCCTTTATGTCTTTAGTGTCTGAATCAAAGAAAGAGAATGTGAACCCGCTGGTCTGCTCTGCCCCACTTGTCAGGTTTGCAGCATCACTGACGTCCCCAGTCTCCTCTCCACTGCAACCCTCGTTCCAGGGCAGGTCTTCTTCCTTTTCATTTGTGTCCTTATTTTGGAATATGTCTTTCAAATCTGTAGCGATGTTATAATACGTGTCTTGGGACACTTCAGGCAGCTTCTCAGCTTCTTCCCTTTTCTTCTTCCGTCTTGCTTTACTGAAATGACATATACCGACATGCATATAACAAAGACAAGCTCTGAAAATCTTTCAACATCAGGAAAGGTGAAGTATTTAGATAATCCTAACTTTATCCTTGAATCTTTAACACAAACTTTTTTTTACACACATTATCTATAACAGATGCAAATCTTAAACACGAGTATTTTCTTTTCATTCTTTAAACTACACTGTAAGAGTTGAACTACCATAAACTTTCATGAGTGTTTTCTCATCTGCAAAATGAACATGTTGAATCAGATGACTTCTAAGATTATTTTAAGTTTTATAATTCTGCAATTTGGAAAAGAACAATTAAAATGCATTTAGAAGTGAATTACAAATGTGCTATGTCTATTATTATCCTTTGCAAAATTTTTATATTGTCATAAATATCTGTACTTAGAAATGAATATACTTTGATCTTAAACATGTTAACAATATTTTGCTTTTAGCTAATAGATTAAAATGTTTACCAATTAAGAATCTATTCCACATAGTACATATCAGAAAAAGCAGGCCAGATGGTGGTGGCATGTACAGCTTTAATTTCAGCACTTGTAGGTAGAGCAGGCAGATCTCTGTGAGTTTGAGGCCAGCCTGGTACACAAAGTGAGTTCCAGGACAGCCAGAGCTGTTACACAGAGAAAACCCTGTCTTAAGGAAACAAAAGGAAAAGAAGAAAAGAAAAAAAAAAAAAGGTTTTTTTGTTTGTTTGTTTTGAGACAGGGTTTCTCTGTGTAACAACCCTAACTGTCCTAGAAGTCACTCCATAGACCAGGCTGGCTTCGAACTCAGAGATCCACCTGCTTCTGCCTCCCGAGTGCTGGGATTAAAGGGGTGTGCCACCACTCCTCAGCTAAAAAGCAAAAGTTCTTAATGGATTATTTAAATGGAAGTGGAAGGATTGCTCTATTTGACTATCTGTATATTTTGACCCCATTATCCCGTCCCCAATTCATCCCCCTCCCCTACCCACCTAACTTTATATTCTTTTTCTCTCGTTACATAAACAAAAGAAATAAACATAGACACAAAAACACAAAAATGGAAATGAAAAAACCCAAATCTACAAAAATACTAATGCATTTGTTTTATGTTGGCCAACACTCCCTGGGGCCTGCCTTGAAGTGTGGTTCAAATACCCAGTGAAATTCCATTGCAGAAAACTGACTCTTCTTTTGTCAGTAGATAGCTACTTGGTTAGGGGTGGGAGTTCTCAATCCATTTCTCCCTTTCAGGGCTGAGACACCATATGGCTTGAACCTGTGCAGGCTTTGAGTGTTAGCACAGTCTCCTATGAGTTCACATGTTTATCAGTCCTGTTGTATCTAGAAGACCTTGGAGTCACCCATCACCTCTGCTCTTAACAATCTTTCTGCCTCTTCTTCCACATAGATTCCTGAGCCTCAAGAGGGCAATTTAACTATTTTAATAGTGGAGACTATCTTAGACAAACTGTTCATATTTCACAAGTAAGCCAGACAGGATTTCACACAGATAAAATATGAAAACTGACTCTACCAGTAACACTGTCAGATAGACAGCTCTAACCCACTGTCATAACTACCTTATAATAACTTAAATTGGTCCTTGATACTTTTAAGAGCTACAAGTGAATTTCCCCCAGAAATTCTTGGAGCACAGACTCAACCTAGTTATTTCTTATAGTAAAGAGGACATAGTAAATGGAGTAAAGAGGACATAGTAAATATGGTAGCATGTGATTTCTGAGACTGGGATCATGGCAAAAGCCTGAAGGGTCTTGAAGCAGCTGCTAGTTGAAACCACATGCCCTTTGAGGAGGTTGTAAGGACTGGTAAAGTCAGGGAAATTGCATTGGGGTTTAGAGGAAGAATTTTAGAAACACTGATAATGTGTGGTACTGTAGAAAATGGCATGGAAATCTAGCTAAAGAGACGTTTAGGTAGCTACAGAAGGTATTTTCTGGCTTCTTCTTGCTATTTACAGTAAAGTGTTAAGAAGAAAGAGGAAAAATAAAAGGGAGAGGAGGTTTTTGTTTGTTTTTTACAGGTACCAGTTGTGGGTTTGAAGCTTCTTAATCTTCAGAGGCAAATGATGTGAAATTTAAAAAATGGTTCCTAAGCAAACATCAAATCTGTGAAAACAGATCTCTGTGAGTTCAAGACCAGCCTCGTCTACAAGAGCTAGTTACAGGACAGCCTCCAAAGCCACTGAGAAACCCTGTCTTAAAAAACGAACAAACAAACAAACAAAATCTGTGAAAACATTATCTAAAGCATGAGTTGGCAAACTTCTGTAGTTCAATAGTCAAATTTAGATCATTGCTCACTTATTCCTTAATTGCATGGTAAGATTTTTTTTAAAGATTTATTTTTTTTTACATATATGAATGTTTTTCCTGCATTGAATGTATACCATATGTGTGCCTGGTGCCCCCAAGAATGGCTTTTATAGTTTGGAATAGTTGATGAAAACATATTTCACATTATGCAAAAATTATATGAGGGAGCTGACTCATCAGTTAAGAGCATTGGTTCCATATCCAACACCCACATGACAGCTCATAACTGTCTGTAACTCCAGTCTGTATGTAACTTCAGTTCCAGGGATCCAGCACCCTCTTCTGGTGTCACAGGCATGCATATGGTATGTAGATAAACATACAGGCAAGACATCAATACACATAAAAAAATTACATATGACACAAATTTCAGTATCTACATGGTTTTCTCAGCAGCTTCATCAGAATTTGAAGGGAAAAAAGACCTGGATTTACCTTTCTTTTTCGTTATCGTCTTGTTTTCTTTCATAAATGGCATGGTCATGCTTTGTTGGGTCATAATGTACAATGTCCCTATGTAAAAAGAATAAAGGTTGGAAGAGATAAATTTTGAAACAATGGCAATTCACAATTTGTCAGTACAAAAATTCTAATTTAGGAGCTGTGAGGGTGAGTTTCAATTGTTAGCTAATAATGGGAAGACTCATTCTCATTCATTGTGGACAGCCCCACTCACTAAGCATGGGATACTAAACTATGTGAGAGGAGGAAGCCAGCTGACCTTAAGATGCATGCATTGCTCTCTATGTGATTATGGATATAAATCAACCAGCTTCTTCAAACTCCTGCTGCTCAGACTTTTCCACTATGATGTACTGCAATCTCAAACTAAGTTGAAATGATCCCTTTTTCCTTAAACAGTTTTTTTTAGGGTATGTTGTCCCAGCAACTGGCAAGTAAACTAAGATGGAGGCAAAACAAAGCTAAATAGTGTTTATCAAAAAGAAGAATTACGATCTTGATATAAACATTTTAAATGATCTATTTGAGTTTTCCTGGATCCCTTTTAACCTTAAAAATTACATCCAGGAGCAGTGGTGTACACATTTAATTCTAGCACTCAGGAGGCAGAGGCAGGTATATTTCTGTGAATTCCAGGCCATCTAGGACTATATAGAGACCACCTCTCAAAAACAAAAACAAAAACCAAACACCAAAAAATATTTTATGTCTCACAAAGTAAAGGCACTTGCTACTATGATGACTTGGGACATGAGTTGAATCTTAGGATCCACTTGGTGAAAGGGAAGAGGGACAGAAAGCTACCCTCTGACACTGACACACATACACACACACTCACACACACACAGTGCATGTTTAAAAAAATAATCTTCAAGCTGGATGTTACGGGTACAGACTTGTAATCCCAACACTCTTGCAGTGAAGGCTAGACTACTGTCCCGTATTTAAGATGAGCCTGGGTGGCTCAGGGAGATCTTGTATCAATAAACAAATAAAAGGAAAATGTTTTTAACATATAGACACATATATAGATAAAATGACACTCTATCTAGAACTTGCACAAAATATTTCAATAGATAAGACAAGTTTAAATGAGGTATAGAAAACTAGTCACATGATGACAACCAATTAGAAGCTGGATCCATGGTTTAGGAGTTTCATTACATTAATATCTAAAGTATATATTTAAAAATTTCCATAATAGTTATATTTATATACAGCCTAACAATTTCACAGTTAATATTTAAAGTCACTTCATATTAGTAAACCAGTTATACAGAAACTATTTAAAACTAGTTTCTTCTGGAGCCAGAATTTCTCTGTGTAGCCCTGGAAGTCCTAAAATTTACTCTGTAAAGGAAGCTGGGATCAAACTCAGAGAACTGCCTGCCTGAATTAAAGATCAAGCCTGTCACTTTAAGAATAAGATTCTTAAAGTGAATCACTGGGTCAAAGGAAAGGAATTTTTTGAAAGTCTGACATATGTTGACAACTGTTCTCCCCAGTAACTTATAAAGGACACAGATGGGCTAAAGCTCTAACTCAGGCAAAAAGCATTTGACTGGAAAATGAAAGACTCTAGGTTAGACCATTAGCATCACATGAAAAACAAAACAAAACAAAATAAAAAAATGAGTTTTAAATTAAGCTCACTAGGCATTTATGACAAAGAAAAATATGACTAGGACAAAACATCAGCCATACTTAAATTTTTTAGCAGTCACTGATCCTTTGCTAGTAGGGTTGTTTAAGTTGATATTCAAAACACTTTGCACAACATTCAATGTTTTCTTTTTTTCTGCAGCAAGCTCATCTTCATTAGTTTTATTTTCATTTAACTCTGGAAAAAGAAAAACCAGTAATCTCTTGACACTCATCATTAGAGAAACCTCAATCATCATATATGCACCCAAATATATTCAAAGTAGACCAAATTACAAGTTTAACCTATTTGTTAATCTCTCTCATTCCAAGACTTCTTGCCACAAAAACTTAGAAATCACATGACTAGCAAACAAAATATCCCACTTCTATTTACAACTGAGAAAATAAAATCTAGATTTAATGTCTTTAGTGGCAAGTATAAAGTTTTAAAGATCAAAAAGCATAACACAAAACACAAGAAACTGGAGAAAATGAATAAATTCCCTAAAGAAAGCCAAGAAAAAACAGTTGAAGGAAACAAAACTGTTTAAGACCTGAAAATGGAAAAAGAAGCAATGAAGATAACACAAATTGAGGGAATTCTGGAAATGAAAAATCTAGATAAGGGAACAGGAACTACAGAGGCAAGAATATAAGAGATGGAAGAGAATCTCAGGTGTAGAAGATACATTGGTCAAAGAAAATGCTGAATCTGAAAAATTACCGACACAAATCAGGAAATCTGGGACACTAGGAAAAGACCAAACCTAAGAATAATAGGAACAGAAGGAAAAGAATCCTAGCTCAAAAGCCCAGGAACTATTTTCAACAAAATCACAGAAGAATTGGTTGAGAAAATCAACAAGATAAACAAACTACATCTCTAACTAAACTAAAAGAGACAGAATATACAAATTAACGAAATCAGAAATGAAAAGGAAAATATGACCACAAACATAGAGGAAATCCAAAGAATCATTAGGTTATACTTCAAAAACCTGTACTCTACAAAATGAAAAATTCAAAAGAAATGGGTAATTTTCTTGATAGATATCACTTAACAAAGTTAATAAGCTCAGGTAAACATTTTAAATGGGCCTAAGTCATTTAAGTCTCCCAACCAAAAAAGCCCAGGGCCAGGCGGTTTTAGCAGAGAAGTCTACCAGACTTTCAAAGAAGAACTAATACCAAAACTCCTTAAATCACTCCACAAAATGGAAACAGAATACCTTATATATAGTAAATAATATCTGAAGGAAAAAATATTTTACATATAAGGAAACTTAAGAATTATTAAGTATACATCTAACTACAAACTAAATTCAACTCATCTTAAGAGTCCAGTTTCTTTGAGTGTCAAATGAAGGAGAAACACCAGGTCACTTCTTACATCCCTAGCTTCAATAGCAGGACTGTTTGAGACAGTGAAATGTTACCTTTCTCCTCTTCTTCACTGTCACTCTCTAAAAATCTAGAGTCCATTCGGAATCTCTCATCACTTCCAAAATGAGACTGCAAATTCATGAGCTACATGGAAAGAAAGATTGTTGTGATAAGCACATTTTGAAAAAGTCTCTAAGTATACTTAGAAATTCATATAACCATCTGCACAACTGCAATGACTATCAACCAGTAAGAGGTGAGAGAGGGTTCACTCCCGCAGAAATTATCCCGCATTGGAACTGCACTTTCCTTAACTGGATTTAAGGACTACTTTCAAATCTTAGACATGCTACAACTGTTTCCATTTCCAGTCTTCACTAACCTTCTGGCCAGCTCTGCCCTCAAACTGAGGTTTAATGTTGAACCTGGTGCTGTCCTCCTTGGAATCTGATTCTTCATCATCACTGCTGTCAAACAACTTCCCAGATGCTTTAACCACAGACTCCTGTTATAGATAAAAAAGAAATGCTTATTAATTGAGATAATCAGCATTTTCCTCCTAATGTAATCTTGCCATACATTTAAAAACCAACAGTGGTGGGGCACGCCTTTAATCCCAGAACTCAGGAGGCAGAGGCGGGTAGATCTCTGTGAGTTCAAGACCAGTGTGGTCTACAAAGAGAGTTCTAGGACAGCCTCCAAAGCAATACAGTTTTGTCTAGAAAAAACCCAAAATAAATAAAATAAAATAAAAACCAACAAGGTACATGCATCTACAGGGACAAGTATGTAGTGGGCCAGATGAAAACTCCTAAATCAGGGATAGGTAACTGGACTTCCAGATCATTAATCCACACACTCCTGTTGCCACTTGGATTGCATGTACACTGCTAAGACTTTGTATGAGGCAGCAAACAGTTTCATGGGTAAGAAAAAAATCTCCAAAACCCCTGACATGTCAGGGTATAGTGGCTTGGGCAATTCTAGAACTATCTCACTGCAATCCCTAGGATTTTATGCAGAAGTGGTAGTTGTGTGGAGCTTTTGTTATACAATAGATTTTACAACTGTGTTGGTACACATTGTAGTATCAGACTGATGCAGAACTTTTCAAAGTTTAAAGGCAGCCTAGGTTTGTTACGATAAATCTTTCCACCAAAAGCTGCCTGAGCCCCACCACCACGTGTGAGCTTTATGCCAGCCACCCGCCTGAGTTAGGGCCCAAATGAATACACAGAAACTTGTATTAGGTACAATGCTGCTTAGCCAATGACTAGGATTCTCATCTGTTAGCTCAGTCTCAATTATCATACATCTATATATTTTATAAGACTTATCTTATCGGACGCCTTATGGCATCCATCCTTGCTGGTGGATCACACATTGTGCCGCTGGAGCAGGAGCAGAGGGGAAAATAGGGCCCTTCTTGTTTCTCCTTCGCTTAAATATGAGTCTCCTTGCTATGTCACTTCCTGCCTGGATCAGCATTTCTCTACTACATTTCCCCAGAATCCTCTTTGACTCCTAGTCCCATCTACTTGCTGTCTCATTGGCCAAACAGTATTTTATTTAACAGTCAATAAGATAAACATACACAGTACATTCCCATCATAGGTTACATAGCATTTCTATCACAAAAGAAAAACAAGACCGGGAATCTGCAAAGTAAATTAACATTTGGAAGGCCTTACCTTCACCACCTCCTTTCCTGGACAATTATTTTGTTCATGAGTAGGTGTCTCTTCCGATTCACTTTCGTTATCAGAAGCAAAGACAATGTGTGTTTTTTTGTTCTCTTGATGACCATCCTAGTGAAACACAAGCATCATCACATTTCAAGACAGCAACTGTATACCCTTCATTTATCCTTCTTTTCCTCATTCAGGGAATACCATTATCATCTGCTATTTTTCCAGAACAGAAACTCAGGCCTCCTTTCTCTCTATATCCAGTAACCTCCAAATTCTACTAATTTGACCTTGGTATCTTTAAGAACCACCATTGCTGTGGTTGTGGTCCTTAACCTCTAAAAAGTTCTCCTTGATTCCAGATCTGACTCCATTGTATGTATTGTATATATCATAGCCTGAAGGATCTCTAAAACACTCTAACAAACTTTATCTGTAATGGTTCAGAATATACATTTTAGATAGTGCAAGTCACAGATAATCTTTGTTGTGTGTTAGAAACTATTTGGGCTGGATGCTCTGTGTATTGTTAAATGCCAACTCCTATTCCAAATATACACAACTATCCAGGCATGGTAACACATGCCTTTAGTACCAGTGCTCAGGAGGCAGAGGCAGGTTGATCTACATGAGTTTAAGGACAGCATGATCTACAAAGTGAGTTTTAGGACAGCTAGGGCTACACAAGGAACTGTCTCAAAAAACCAAAATGACAAAAAAAAAAAAAAAAATGTAAACAACTAATCATAGCTTTAGGGATTAAGTTCCACCCTCTGCATAATTCACCCCTCCGTAATCACTGCTGCTTCATTTCTATAAATACAGTGTCATGAAAAAAATGTACTTTTAGGCAATTGGCTCCCCTTTGCAGTAAGAGCTTTCCTCTTCCTCACTGTTTTTCCACATCAGTAAAATTCCTTCTACTCCCTTCACCTATGGGTTAAGGAAACCTAACTGACTTGGTGTTCCAAGAGACTTGACTGTCTGCTCAACATACCATGCATCAACAGCTGCATGAGCATTTAACCCTGATTCTGTGAATCTAGCACTTAAAAGTGGACTTTATTGCTGGAGGAATGAACAAAGGCTCCTTACAGTAAATGCCATCAAGATTTAACTCTTGCTAATCACTATACAAACTATAGTTAGATAACTTTAAAATACTTTCAATTTGCCAGGTGTTGGTGGTACACACCTTTAATTCCACTCGGTAGGCAGAGGCAGGTGGATCTCTGTAAGTTCGAGACTAGCCTGGTCTACAAGAGCTAGTTCCAGGACAGCCTCCAAAAGCCAGAGAGGAAACCTTGTCTCAAAAAACCAAAAATTTCAATTTAATTTTGCATCCTTTTAGTATAGACTTATTAGCATAGGTGATTTAAACTTTTATCTCAAGGATAAAAACTGAGTAGTCACTGTGAAGAAGACAATGAGCTCTTTAAGGACACATCTACCTTCATGGGATAGAAAATCTCGACATTGAGAATATTCTTGTTAAATCCATAGACTGTAAATGCACTCACCAAATTTGCCAACGCACTGTGAACCAGTTTTTTCTGCACTTCTCTAGCTTTCTGCCACACTGCCAAGGCGGCTAGTCGCTTCTGGTTGTCTTCAGCATGTTTATCCTTTGCACTCACACATGATGCGTTACTAACAGAAAGTGAGAAACTAGCTGTGCTTTTCTGATTATCTTCCCTGAGACACACCTTCCGTGGTTTCTCAAAAGATGTAATATTGCTTGTATCAGTGCCCTCTTTCTCTGAAGCTTTTCTACTTTCAGGCAGATGGCAAGTGTCTCTGTCACAGTCTATCTTGTGACTCTTTGTACCAAGATTTAAGGACTTTTTACCTTTTAATGGCAACAGACATGAGGGAGGATTTTTACTTTCCTTGTCAAAACTAGTAGAGGACACTACTTCATGGCTCTGGCTCTCAACAGTAAACTGTCTCTTTGGAGGCTGAATGTGGTTTGGGCTATTCACCTTCTTTGCAGGTTGGCATGAAGTCAGTTTGCTTGATGAGCCATTAGCACACTTGGATCCATTTTCTATAAAAATTCTATTATGATCTTCATGTTTCAAGGAACTCTGATGTTCACTGATATTGTTAAAGGCAACAGTCTCTTTCAAAGTTTTGTCCACTGACTCTTTTGCATAGAGACTGCCTATTCCCTTGAAGGCCTGGAATTTTGGCTTTAAAGTGGTTTCCTCTGGTTTTTGTTTGCTGTAAGTGTCCTCTTCCTCTAAAAGAGAGGCCACAATATCCTCAGGACAAATGCACTGTCGGCCATTGTGCAGGTCATAGGAAGTCCTAGGAGTCTTGGAATTTGTGTCAAATATGCACTGATTGATGTTTTGTGAGTCATCACTCTCATCATCTTTTCCTGGAACCTTCTGATGACTGCCAGCCAACTGTTCCAAATCAGCCAAAGTGAGATTCACCCGGGGACAGTTTTTCATCAAAGCTTTATATTCTTCATCTTCCTCGGACTCTTCTTCACAGTCACTGACGTTGGAGTCAGGTGGAAATTTGGGATTCAAACACTTTACTCCATGACCCAGGGCTGATTCTTTGTTGCTTTTAGTTTTTTGTACTTTAACACAATCGTTAGAAGGCTCTATCTTTTTAAAAGAACTTTTCTTGCTTATAGGCTGTTCTGGTTGTGAAGATTCTGTACTGTTTTTGACCTTAACAATGTTTTTTTTCATTGCGATAATTTCATCTGTATCACTGGAGTCATATTCACAGTCATTTCCTAACTTGGCTGAAGAATGAAGTTTGTGAATATCTGATTTAAAATCATCCTTTACAACTTCAAAAGGATCATTTTCAGATTCATTTACTAAGGAATGCCTAGTTTTTTGTAAGTTTTCCTCTTTTGCAATCATCATTTTTAATTCATCTTCAGAGTCAATGTCATCATCAGACATGCTACTTTTATTCCAGATAATTTCAAAGTCAGAAGTATGAAAAATAACATGATCAGGTGTCGGAGTACTAGAAGTGGACACAAGGAGTGATTGAGAAGGCATACCGCTACTAGGGGCTTTCTTGTGTGCAGTCACTGGCTGTGTTGATTTATTACTCTCCATCACCTCATTAATCCTTAGACTACTATCAGAGCCCTTGGACTCCATTGGGCCCCTGCTCTTCTGCACTTTCTTCATCTTCTGGGGAGGGAAATAAAAGTCAGAGAACTCCCCTCGACGTTTCTTACTCATAGGGTCATTGCCTCCTTCCAATTCCCAAGTGAGGTCAGTTATGGGAATGTTTTCTGTCAAATTCTCTGCTATCTTTTTTAGGTTGTGGCAGTATTTTGATGGATCATATTTCATAATGTTACTCAGAGTCAAGGAAAAAGAAAAATCACCAAGTATTAGGGTGAAACAGGAAAAATGTTTAATCTTGAACAAATCCTTTACTTCATCTACTTCAATTCCCCATCAAACTAAATGAGGACTCCACATAGTAAGCTTCTAGGGTCTATGAAATTGAACTATAACATAGCCAAAGCTAAAATCAAGCACCACCACTATCAGTTGAGAAAAATTACTTGGATGATAAATATTACAGCAAACTCTCTTATGTATACACACACCCTCTGCAAGGAAGCCCAGGATGCCTTCTTTTTAAGATCTCATGGAATAGACATCAGAATTTGCTCACCCTGGATTTCATACTACCTCTCCATATACTTTTTTTTTTTTTTTGCTTAATAGCCTATTTTTATCTAATATCTTCTTTTTAGAAGTACTTTACACTAGCAGTTATAAAACTACCTCAATTCCTCCTAAGTCTTCTTTAACAACAGCCCCAAAATCTCTATTCCTGCACTGGTCCATTAGCAATGGCTTGTGAATCTGTATGTAATAAGTTGTTGGGTTTTTTTGTTTTGTTTTGTCTTGAGACAGAATATTACTACATAGCCCTGGTTAGCCTGGAACTTGCCATGTAGACCAGGCCAGACTTGAATTCACAGAGATGTCTGCCTCAGCTTCCTGAGTGCTGGGATTAAAGGGGTGTGCCACCATGTTCAGCTTTAATAAGATTTATACATTAACAAATGAAAGTGTTTCCTTGGCAGTCATCATTCATATCACTTAATTGCATAAAATTGCATGTCACTCATTATTCTCAATGTGCTTTATATAGGTAGAAGAATTAGAGCTTACCTTGAGAGAAAGAAGCAACATGCTAAAACAATTAAAAATTTATTGATAGAGGCAGTGAAATCCTAAAGCTATTTTTCCATTACTCTGGGAAATAATAATCACTGTGAAATGCTGACCAAAGGATATTTTATTTTTATGTTGACTCTTAAGGTGAAGAACAGGTAAGACTCTTCCAAATTTACTCACAACCCAATTCTAAAAGACAAAACAAAAACAAAAAAGAAGACTTTTAATTTTCATAAATATGAACAAAATAATAATACATAAATATAATTTTTAAGTTGAACTCACAATGGGCTTTAGTATTGTAGAGTTTAGTTTTTGACAATAAAAGGTCTCAAAGAAGAAAAGTATGATGAAACAAAACAGAAAGAAAATTCCAACTACATCATGGACAGTATTTAAACACATACATACATACATACATACATACATACATACATACACACACACACACACACACACACACACACACACACACACCCCTATTAAAATGTGGCCATGGTTTGGGATATAGCTCATTTGGCAGGGTGTTTGCATAGCATACACAAAGCCCTGAGAACCATCCCCAGCACCTCATGATCTGGATGTAGTGGGACACACCTGAACTCCTAGCACTCAGGAAGTAGAGGCAGAAGCATTAGAAGTTCAAGATCATCCCCAGTTAAATAACAAGTCTGAGGTTTGCTCGGGATACAGGAGACCCTGTCTAGAAAGAAAAGAAGAAAGAGAGGGAGGGAAGGAGCAGCCATTGTGATGGCATGTGTAAGACCTGTACACCATCAAGCCAGCAGAAATCCCAGCAAGGATGGAGTAAGGGCTCAAGAAGTCCCACCCCTAACTGGGAAGCAATTGGCAACTGAAGGGTCTTAGGAGAGGAAGAGTTAAGTTTTCTCTGGGTACATGGCCACTGAAAGGCTACCAATGCTCTAGTAGTGGGTTCTAAACCTATGCACACACAGTAGTACTAAGTGGATTCAGAGGGTTTAAAAAAAAAAAAAAAAAAACAAATTATGGTGGGTGGCATAGGAGTGGTGTGGTTAAGAGAGAAACTGGAGGAGAAGGAATAAGAAATAGATTTGACCAAAATACATTATATGCTTGTATGAAAACCCTACAACGGTAACAATAAAAACACAAATAGCTCTGAAGAAAGTAAAAAAAAAGCATCTTGGGACCGCTGGTCCATATTACCACCTATGTCCTTAGGAAGAGTCCCCACCTGCTATATATAAAGTGTGGGAAAGTTGTGCCGACTGAAGACTTATAAATGCATGCTGAAAATTAAAAACAAATGAGCAAAAACACCCAACCTATAAGCTTACTGCTCCAAAGTGGAGAAAAAGCATCAGCTTTGGATGTCACACCTACAAACATGAGGTATCAGAAGACAAAGTAGGCAACCCCCCCCCCACCCAGACAGGGTTTCTCTGTGTGGCTTTGGAGCCTATCCTGGCACTCCCTCTGGAGACCAGGCTGGCCTCGAACTCACAGACATCTGCCTACCTCTGCCTCCCGAGTGCTGGGATTAAAGGCGTGCACCACCAACGCCCGGCAAAGTAGGCACATTCTACTGAAGGAGACTCACTTTATGTCCTGGTACCTCTGTTCCAGGCACAGCTTTCATATGGAAATCTACTCCTCCAATCTTTTCCAATAAGCTGGTATTGCCAGTGGTTGATTTTTCTTTCTTTGCTTTTGCTTCTTCTCTTTCTTGGGCTAATCTGAATTGAAGGGCAAGTAAAAACAAATCAGCCATGAAAAAATGTTTAGAGGCACCTAAGTGAGCACCAAAATACCATTAATAGTATTAAAAAACAAAATAAAACACTTCTTTAATAGCATAATTACTTATACTATCTTCTAATCACACAAAACATTGGAAAGAGAAACAAATCAACTATTTCTTTAATCCCACATTTTGTTAAGGCTTGTCTGTATCAACTTCCATTCCATTCACAAGCACTTACAATGCACCCTCCCACTCCCGTGCTCTGCAACCTGAGCTGCCTCTGCTCTCTGTGGCTTTGGAGGCTGTCCTGGAACTAGCTCTTGTAGACCAGGCTTGTTTCGAACTCACAGAGATCCACCTGTTTCTGCCTCCCGAGTGCTGAGGTTAAAGGCCTGTGCCGCCACCACCACCAGGCTTGTTTTGTTTTGTTTTGTTTCTGGGCATGAACTTTAGGATTTCAAAAGCCCAAGTCTCTCACAGTTTCTTGTATTTCTGCCTCATGCTTGTAAATAAGATGGAAGCTCTGACCTACTGCTCCAGCACTATGTTTGCCTGCCTATTGCCATGCCTGGTCATGGACTCTAACCCTCTGGAATCATGAGCTCCCAAATTAAATTCATCATCATGGCAACAGAAAAGTAAGACAGTGCCTCATATGTATATATCTTTTCTCAATCTCTTCGTATGACATTGCATTTAGTCAAAACCAACATGTGTAATTCAGTATCATCTGTAATAACATAACTCTAAGATTCAGGTAACATCAGCTTTTGACATAAACCCTGTAGAAACAGTTTCATATTTATAAGACATCCTCAGATCATCTACAGATAGCAAGAGGCAGAAATCGTTTAAATGTCCTTCAGTGTGAAGAGACACTGTGGTAACAGCCACTTCTGATATACAGATAGTTGTTACAAAAGGGGGAAAGCCACAGAAGATTGTATTAGAAAGGAAAAACAAAGAAATACATACATATGCAATACACATGCACATGTAACAGCACTTAATTCTTTTCTGGGTGGCTTAGAATAAAAGGAGAATCAAGAAAGACTTCAGCTCTACTTGCAAGGTAAGAACTTGCTAGTGTTCTGCTTTCATTTCTGTTGCTATAATAAAATGTCTTATAAAAAGCAACCTAGGGGAGAAATGGTTTCTTTAAGGTCACAACTCTGGATTATATTATGGTCCATTATAGTCCATTGCAGGGAAGTAAAAGCAGGAACCTGAAGCAACTAGTCACATTACAGTAAAGAGCAGAGAGAATAAATGAACACATACATAGTCCTCAACTACCTTTCTCTACTCTTATACAGTCTAATGCTCCAAACTGGGGAATGGTACCATCCACTTTCAGGCTAGGACTTCCCAGATCAGCGATAGAAATCAACACAATCTGCCACAAGCAACCTACAATTCAAACCGATGTAGACAATACTACATTAAATTCTCTTCCCAGGTGATTTTAGGTTGCATCAAGTTGTGAAACTAATCATGACAACTATCAATATATTACTTAATAATTTCAAATTAGGCAAACTTATAAAAGCAATTATACTATAGAGAAACTGGGTTTAAATTCACATAGGGCAAATCTTACCTGTGCAAAAAGCTTTCTTTTGCTAGCTGAATTTGTAGTGTTCCACCTTTCCATTTTGTTTTGTTTAAAATAGACATACCTATACGGTAAAGAATTGCCAAAGTTTATTGTAATGCAAAACTATATTTCAGTACATTTTTCGTTAATTACTTAGTATTAGGAAAAATAGGCTTATTTGTCAAAAAGAGACACCTACAATGTAGAAGAAAAAGTAAACCAAAGAGAACCTAGGCTTCCTGGCTAAGTCTGATCAGTTAGCAGTTTTCTCCCCACTCTTTTAAAAAACGATCTATTTTTATTTCATGCATTTTATTTTGTGTGCATGCATGTTAGTATGGCTGTTTGTGTATGAATACCCATGAAGGTCAAAAGAGAGCCTCAGATCTCTTGGACCTGTAGTCACAGGTGACTATAAGCCACCCGTGTGGGTGCTAGGAAGTGAATCTGGTTCCTCTGCAACTATTGAGTCATTTCTTCAGTCCCAGCTTAGAGGTTTCTTTCTCTCAATGACTTGAAGACTAACAGAAAAAATAATATATAAACTGTAAACCAAAACTTTATAGGCTCATTTCAGGAACTTCTAGTGAATAACTATTTATTTGCTATTTTGTTATTTTCCACACTGCAAATAAACAATGAAATCTTTTCAGGGTGAATTAGAGCACATTTTCGGATCTTGCAGCATTTTAATCTTTCACATCATCCAGTTATCACCACAAAGCATGCACACAATTAGCTAATGACTGAACTGTGCTTCAATTGTTGTGTCCTAATAGTTGATTTTTCTAGTGTCTATTGTCAGCTTTCTGAATGTAACCACTAACAAAATTTTCCATGCAGCAGATATTCACGATGTACAAATGCAATACTTAATACTTACAGTAACATTATCAGGTAAGGCACTGTATCTCTTCATTTACTGGACTTATAAGTTTAAATAAATTACCTTATATATACTCTCACCAAAAATAATCTTTTTGCAAATGTAATTGTAAAAGACTGATTCTTTTCTCCCAGTGGCACATTCCTTTTAATTGCTTTTCAGTGCCTTTTTTTTTGACTTCCGAGAAATTAGAACACATTAAATGCCTGAAAGAATAAATCATCTCCCCCATGTTAATCACTGAATGTTAATATTTACCCTTATCTTTACTAATCTCATAATTAGAGATATCACAGTTTCAAAGATACGGTCTGACGAGGTCATATTCTAATGTCCTTTCATAATAGGTCTTAAAGACAAAGAATTAGCTGCCCCCCAAAAAATGGACTTAGGAGAAGCCTGGCCATATGTTCAGTGGGATAAGCGTAATAAGCAATTTCTATGGAAGTTTAGTCCTTCGTTCAAATTCTTTGAAAACAGTTTCTGAGCAAACCTACCAGCATGTGATACTAGGTCTTCTGACACTAACTCAATGAATTGAAACATGGTTGTCAATACACAACTCTTAAGTGACTAGTGAGGCTTAGATATGGAACCAAAGACACTTCAGTTACACACCACACTGACAAATAGAATAAAAAGTACATGATGATCTTACATTTTTTGAGATCTGCTTCTGTTATTTTGATGTTAACATATGCAAAGGCTTTCTGTGAATTTCCTAAAAAAGAAAATTTGGCTGATTTAAAATCTTATCCAGAGGACAATAAAAATCTCAGTAGTTGTTTTTTGTTTGTTTGTTTGTTTTTAATGAGATGACTAGTTGGCCCTGAACTCAGATATCTGCATGCCTCCTGAGTTCTAGGATCAAAGGTGTGCACTACCATACACAGCCTTAAAAAGCTTTCCAAGTTTAAAAAGTGAGCTCATACTTATTTTTTAAAAAAATATTTTTTTTTGCCACACCAGACCAAAGACTGAATTTTTACATACACAAAGTTGATAGGTGACATCTTTCTGCATATGTTTCTCTTATTGGTTGATGAATAAACGACTTTGATCTATAGAGGGAGAAAGACAGGTGAGACTAGGAGACAAGGAGAATTCTGGGAGAGGTAGGCAGAGATGGTGCACAGGGAGAGGCCATGGAGGGCCCGGGAGGATAGGACGCTCGAGGTGTTCTCCGGTAAGATAAGGCCATGTAGAAATACATAGATGAGCAGTTATGGGTTAATAATTAAAACAGAGCTAGCCAGTAAGAAGCCCTAGCTACCTGCCAACAGTTTAATAATTAATATAGCATCTGTGTATGTTCATTTGGGGCTGAAGCAGCGGGACCTGGCGTGACGAGAAGCTCCAGCAACACAAAGTATTTCAAAATAAAATGAATAAGAAAAAAAAGCCCCTCAAGTAATCAGTTAAGACACACCTTGATTGTATGTTAGTGACATTCTACTTAACAAGATATATAATGTTGAGTCCTAAAATTGAAACAAAAGATGTTTTGCAAATTCAAATGTTTTATAACTTTTCTGGTTTCAAAATTAATTTTCATACACAATACTTCCAGGACACTAAATAACATTTTCAATGTTTAGTACTAATATTCAGCTCCATAGTTGCTTTTTTCTTTAATGCCTGCCCTGAGCTGGTACATATCCAATTAATGGTTATATATTTATTTACCTTGGTCATCTTTCCGAGTGATGATCTCTATATCAGAAACTTCTCCAAATCTGCTGAACTGATTTTGTAGGTCTGCCTCAGAAATGCCTTGTCCAAGCCCACCCACAAAAAGGCGCTTCATTTCTCGGTTGGGTTTCATGAATGCTGGGCATCTATCTGGAAAAGTAATTTTGTGTAGAAAGAACACTTACTAGGACCTCTGGAAGAGCAGCCAGTGCTCTGAACCACTGAGCCACCTCTCCAGCCCAACTTCTCATTTTCATATTCACAGTGTTGGGTGTCCCGTTCCCCCATCCCCACCCCCATGATTCGTTTGTACATTTATTTTTTTTAAGTTTTCTGAGACAGGGGTTTTCCTCTTTGTAGCCCTGGCTGTCCTGGAACTCACTCCGGAGACCACCGTCTGGCTGTACATTCATTTTTACTTTAACAAAATACTGGCAAAACAGTAAGCTAAAGGTCAAAAATACCTCCACAGTCAGAGATAAAATCTGCAACTACAACAGTATGGCACAATGCAAATGTCCCCCAAGCGCTGTTCAGGCATCAAGAGGGCAACTAATGTTATACCTAAAATTTTTTTCCCACTGTGTGCGTGAACTGCACAAAGCACTTTGCGTGATTCTCATCGTTCAGGGGGGCAGGAGAGGTTAAGACTTTTCCTAGTGCCAGGTCTAACTTCAGAACCGGGAACTGCTAACCCTCTACTACAAAGGTTGCTGGGAAAGTTCACGAGAGGTCCCTCCACCTCGTTTAGCTCTCGGCAGATGCTCAGACCTTTCAAACCTTCCTCAGAAGCTGGCTGCCTCCTTCCAAGCGAGCTCACAAAACCGCCGGCGTGAGCGCAAGGCCACGACCTGCAGTCCGGGAGACCTACAGCGGACCACTTCTTGTCAGCCCCCGCCCCATCCTCCGAGAAGTCCCCAGTTAGGAGAGAGGAGAGGGTGGGCCCGACAGCCCTCCACTTCCCACACGCACACACTCTCCTCAGGACGCTGCCCGTCAGCACTAACGCAGCGAAGCCCCCAACGTCTAACAACACGTGCCGGCAGGCGCGCTCTCTTTTCTTTCCTACAGGGTTTCCAACCCAGTCTCCTAAGGTTCCACTTCCACGCAGTTCCCCCAGGGCTCTTTATTTCTCCTGCCTTCGTTCTAACTGACGTCCCGCTACCTTCTCTCCCACGTCTGTGAATGAGCCTAGGAAAACAATTTCCGTAATTCCTACAGAAAAAAAAAAAAAAGACACGCCGCCACGTGACTCCTGACTTCCGGACCAAGTAGGCGGAAGTGGGGAAGCGGAACAAAAATAAAGAGACTCTTTCCCTCGTGCTTCCCGAGACCGCCCTCTCAGTGACGTAGGGGTTCGCGGAGCTCAGAGACCGTTGGAGGGGGTGTGCGGCCGTTGGAGCTTGACCTTCGATTTGGAACGAACCAACTCTCAGAAGCTTCGGGGGTCGCAACGTTCTGAGGGACGTAAGGGTCCTGAACGTTGTTTGAGGGTGGGGCGGACACGCGTCGCCAAGCAGCCTCTCCCCCCCCCGCGAGCTCCTGAATGGTGCGCACCGGGAGACAGCCGCTCCCCCTCCACGAACTCCGAATGGTGCACGCCGGGAGGCAGCCTCTCCCCCCCACCGCGAACTCCGAATGGTGCGCGCCGGGAGGCGGCCTCTCCCCCCAGCGCGAGCTCCCGATTGGTCCGCATCGGGAGCAGCCTCTCCCCCGCGAGCTCCTAATGGTGCGCGCCGGGAAACAGCCGCTCTTCCCCCCATCTCCGCGAACTCCGAATGGTGCGCGCCGGGAGACAGCCGCCCCCTCCCACCCCCGCGAGCTCCGGATTGGTCCGCGCCGGGAGCGGGAGCTGCTTGAAGCGCCGGGCGAGCCAGGCGCTCTGACAGAGTTTTGGGCCACAGCTTTTGCTGCGGGAGCCATGGATCCTGAGACCCGCGAACTGCGCGCCTTGGAGGCGGAGGTCGCGGCGCTGCAGCGGGAG